TATAGAGGATAGTTATATTCACTCACAGATCAAAAACTAGCAAAAGGTATGAAATACCTAATAATTTAATTTTTTACCTTAACTTTTGGCATATTCCACAGATCTGTAGTATACTTGAGTGTGAGAGCTTAGGAATAAATATGATTGGAACTCATTCATGTTTAGAGACAAACGGTGTCAAACTGAGAACCAGGCAGATACACCTCATCTTAAAATGACCCCAAAGTAAAGTGGTTGAAGAAATTAAATCCCAAAGATTCTTGGTGAAGAATGTTGAAGTTTTCATCAGTATATCCATATTCAAATGGAGATTAAAGAAAGGAAAATAAGGCCAGGCGCTGTGGTTCATACCTGTAATTCCAGCACTGTGGGAGGCTAAAAGGCAGGCAGATCACGAGGTCAGGAGTTCGAGACCGGCCTGGCCAACATAGTGAAACCCCGTCTCTAATAAAAATACAAAAATTAGCTGGGCATGGTGGCATGCGCCTGTGGTCCCAGCTACTAAGGAGGCTGAGGCAGGAGAATTGCTTGAACTCAGGAGGCAGAGGTTGCAGCGAGCCGAGATCACGCCACTGCCCATCAGCCCAGGCAACAGTGCGAGACTCCGTCTCAAAAAAAAATTAAAAAAAAATCAAAATAAAAGAATTGTGGGCTGACAACTGTGGGTTAAGCATCAGTTCTATTAAGAAGGACTAACTTGAAGATGAATCTTTTGAAGATACATTTTGACTCCAGCTCTTTAGAGGAACTAGGTTACCTTGATGTGAAATTCTTCAAATAAAAATTTATTGACTTTAAATGAAAAAAAAACTGCACATACACACACACACAGAGCTAACTAGCTACATCCTCAATGACACCAAGCTTTAGATCTTCATCTCTGAAGTGTGAATGACAATGGCACCTCAAAGTGCTGTGACAAGAATGTGTTTGAAAATAAATATAATCAGCAACAGTGCTTGGCATATTGTAAATAAGTGCTCAAGAAATGCTAGTTCCCAAAACTGTTGTTGCCACTGTACCCTAAATCCCTATTGTCTTCTGATATCCTTTAGTGATGTAATTCTGTCTTGCAATGGGCCTGTTCATCTCTAGTATGAATTTCAACTATAATGCTTTTTCTACATTTCCCTCAGGCTTACATGGCCAAAATATCCAGAGCTTTGCCTTGGGGTATATAATAAGATATTTCATTTTGTAGCCATGAGAGCACTGTGTATGAAAGTTTGGAATAATGCGCCTGGCACGGTGGCTCACGCCTGTAATCCTAGCACTTTGGGAGGCCGAGGTAGGTGGATCACTGAGGTCAGGAGTTCGAGACTAGCCTGGCCAACATGGCGAAACCCTGTCTCTCCTAAAAATACAAAAAAAATTAGCTGGGCTTGGTGGCAGACACCTGTAATCCCAGTTACTCGGGAGGCTGAGGAGGGAGAATCGCTTGAACCCAGGAAGTGGAGGCTGCAGTGAGCCAAGATTGCACCATTGCACTCCAGCCTGGGTGACAGAGAGAGACTGTCTCAAAAAAAAAAAAAGAAAGTTCGGAATAACGCATTACAAGTAGCCTCTCTAGTTTTTATGTTACTCGTAGTTTTATCACACAGGAACAATGTCATAAATTTTCATGGTTGAATTATCAGTTGTTTATGCAATATTCATTGACATTTTTGGCTAATCAGCAGTGTTTCTGGAATTATTTGAATATCATTATTGTTTTCCAAAATTATTTTATAAAACTAATTTAAAAATCAAAAATGATATAATTAATAACGTGAAATTAAATATAAGTTTTGAAGAATGTCAGGATGTCACCCCCAAATTATTCTTCTTTGGCATAATAATTATTTTCAACTGAAGGCAATTGAAAATCAACAGGTGTAGGAGGAGTTCTCTGTCTTCTCTTTACCCAAATAAAGTAGGGTATTTCCCTTTGTGAAGGTGACAGAAATTTCCCTTGTGAAAGTGTCCCCAATTGCTACACCAGGAAAAAGAGAGCAATTTTTATCATTAGATGTGGAAGGTTGGCACTGAGATGAATCTGCAAAAACAAACCTTCCTACAATTATTTCTATCTTTCATTTTATCTTCCATGGTTTTTTATTGCCCATGTATTTCCCAGTCACATTCCCAAATTTGTTATCCCATGAAGTGCAAACTCCCTTTCCTTTGTTGGAATGGTGTACAAGTCTGTGAGTCTAACTGCTTTTTTAAGGTTTCATTTTTTTTCTTTGTGAACTCTGTGCATGTAATATACTAATAAAATTGTATGCTTTTTTTTCGCATGTTAATCTGTCCTTTGTCACTTAAATTTGCAAGACCCTACTTAGTGAAACTAACAGTACAGAAAAAAAATGTTTCTTCATTGACAGTTTCAAAACCTAAATAAAACTGAGGCAAGAATCTTTTTCATCTTAAAATGGCCAATTTTAATTTCCAAATTAATGGTTCATTAGACCTAAGCCAGTCAGCTAGGTGAACAATTGTGATGGAATAAAACAAAACTAAAGGACATGAACAAAACTGAGAAAACATATGGAAGACTGAATCTAAAGGCCAGGTAGAATTGAAAATTTTTCTAATTTTTAACTCTATAAATTAAATGAATGTGTTTCATTTCACAGCTTTCATCTGTGGAAACATGTTTGCAGAAGACATTCGAGGTTGGGATTAATTGAAAGTATATAACTCAAATAGATTAAGACCCCAAAGGGCATTGAAGGAAAATTAGAAAATCTTCTATTTTTGCTTGGGTTGATTTCTCTCCTGACTAACTCTTAGAGATGATATGAACATCAACTAAATGGGTAGCCATGAAAGTGTCTAAGGGAGAAAGGAACACAGAAGTTCAATGTACCATAACTTAATTTTTATTTATTTAGTTTTTTGAGACAGACTCTGGCTCTATCGCCCAGGCGGAGTGCAGTGGCATCATCTTAGCTCACTGCAACCTCTGCCTCCCGGGTTCAAGCGATTCTCCTGTCTCTGTCTCCCGAGCAGCTAGGATTACAGGTGTGTGACACCACACCCAGCTTATTGTGTGTTTTCATGGAGATGGAGTTTCGCCATTTTGACCAGGCTGGTCTCGAACTCCTAACCTCAGGTGATCTGGCCAACTCAGCCTCCCAAAGTGCTGGGATTACAGGCGTGAGCCACCGCTTCCAGCTTTTTTTTTTTTTTTTTTTTTTTTTTTATGACGGAGTCTCGCTGTGTCGCCCAGGCTGGAGTGCAGTGGTGCAATCTCGGCTCACTGCAACCTCCGCTTCCTAGGTTCAAGCAATTCTCTGCCTCAGCTACCCAAGTAGCTGATATTACAGGCGCCTACCACCACGGCTGGCTAATTTTTGTATTTTTAGTAGAGACAGGAGTTCACCATATTGGTAAGGCTAGTCTTGAACTCCTGACCTGTGATCCACCCGCCTCGGCCTACCAAAGTGCTGGGATTACAGGCATGAGCCACCGCGTCTGGCCTTTTTTTTTTTTTTTTTTTTTTTTTAATTGTGTGATGTTGAGATGGAGAAACAGGAGGAGGTGGGAGGGATCTTAATATATATATATGGAAAAATAAAAACATGGAATAACCAGGACAATTCTGAAAAAGAAGAATAATGAGAGAAAATTAGCTGTATCAGCTATTCAGCTATTAAAGTCCAGTTATAACATCTCGGTTTATTAAACATGCATTTACATCAGTCTCCCCTTATCTCCCCGCACAACCAGTGGATGCCTGAAACCACAGATAATACTGAACCCTATGTACGCTGGGTTTTTTTCTATATATACAAAGCAATGATTAATTTAATTCATAAATCAGGCACAGTAAGAGATTAGCAATAACTGATAATAAAACAGAACAATTATGACCACATACTGTAATAAAAATTATTTGAGTCTGGGAACGGTAGCTCACGCCTGTAATCCCAGCACTTTGGCAGGACCAGGTGGGCGGATAACATGAGGTCAGGAGTTCGAGACCAGTCTGGCCAACTTGGTGAAAACCGTCTCTACTAAAAATACAAAAATTAGCCGGGCATGGTGACAGGCCCCTGTAATCTCAGCTACTCGGAAGGCACAGCAGGAGAATTGCTTTAACCTGGGAGGCCGAGGTTGCAGTGAGCCAACATCGTGCCATAGCACTCCAGCCTGGGTGACAGAGCGAAACTCCGTCTTATAAATAAATAAATAAAAATATAGATATAAATTATGTGACTGTGATCTCTCTCAAAATAGCTTACCGTTTTACTTGTGATGATGTGAGATGATAGAATGCCTGTGATGAGATAAAGTGAGGTGAATGGAGTAGGCATTGTGAAGTAGCATTAGGCTGGATAAGGTACTACAGATTTAGGTACTAGTTGAACACCTGTCATTTGTCACATAATCATCTCAGTATTAAGGGTAGCACATAGCACAATGTTTAAAACAGTACAATTCTACCTTAAGAACTGTGGGAATGACTAAAGGAATAAAACCGAAACCTGAGAAACCTGAGACAGTCCAACTGTCCATGAAATTTTAGCCTATTAGCCTATGACAAAAATAGCCAAAATTGATAGGTGTGTGGAGGGTGGCACGGGAGGAAGAAGGGGGAAGCAGAAATGAAAGTTCATAAATGGTCTTGGGAGAAAATATGTCCATATATTAAACCTTACACCAAAATAGAGTTCACCATGTAAACCGTGTTGTAATGTAAAATTAACAACACAAAATTACTTAGCCCATGGGAGAATGCTTTTTCCTTCTTCCCTGCCTCTGCCTCCTTGTCTCTCTGCTTGCCTCCCTCCCCTTTCTCCCTTTCTTGGGATGAATCCGTGGTCACCATCACTAACAGAGAAATTAACTCACTACATTCATCATTGTGGAGATGGTAGAATAACTGGGCAGGTTATCTCCAGAAGTCCCGGTACACATAATTTAGGTCTCACTGAAATGTGCCCATCAGATTTTAAAAGAAGCGAATATAAGACGCTAGGTTTTCTGTATTCAGAAGCACCATGGATGTCAAATAGAGGGAACCATTAACGAAAGCCTTTATTAGAAATGTCTCTCATTTATCCATACACTTTAGTTAATAGTACAAATCGTTCTCCGCGTAGAAACATTTGGACTGCCAAACAAAATACGTTTAAAAGAACTTCGATTTTTAAATGTTGATGTCTGCCTAAACTGAGGATAAGTAACCGTCATGCGAGGACAAAATGGCTGGCTAAAAGTTGTGCTTTCGATACGCTCAAAATCGATACGCTCAGATCTGTCAGTTTAGCGGAACGCTACATGCATGATATGAGAAACAAAAAACTCCCTAGGTCCACGATTGCCTTGGGTGGAGGAAGGGCTATTGCCGCTGTTGTAGCTGTTTTTTCAAATGCATTCCTTTGTTGCCACAGGAATGAGAAATTAACAGCAGAGGAATGTAGGACAAAGGTACCTGCACGCACTCTCCTCCCAGGGCTGGATGTTGCCACTACCTCCAGGAGATATCAACTTGACTACCGACAACATAGAAAGCGTCCGAAATCCCGGACGTTAATATCAAGAGGCAAAACTTTTAAGTCACAGTGAAGCAACACACACGGAATAAGCAACGTCTGCCACTATCCAATTAAATATAGAATGAAAGTCATGGACTAGAACGACGGACCAACCGAGGAGTAGGGCGGGACTTTTGAATTATTTTTTAGTCCAATCCGGATATCCCTTTAGACGAAGAACCTGGCTCTTGTTTTGCGATCTTTTCTGCCTTTCACAGGCCTGGGGCGTGGCTGACTGCCATCCCAAAAACATCCGCCAGCGGTAAACGCCTCGAAGCAGCAGTCAGGGACATGGAAGTCGCAGCAAAGGTTTAAGTGCCATAACCTTACCACGGCCACTCTCCAACCCCCATTACTTATCCTTTCGACTAACCTTAAGGAGCAGGGTCGAGCAAGAAAAGGAAGAAGGGCAACTAGGAAAAACAAGTATCCAGCTCTTTTATTGAGATCAGTGGTGGCTCTGAAAAGAGCCTTTTGGGTTTTTTGAAGCAGGCGTCCACCTATTTCTTCTTGGGTGCCGCCTTCTTAGGCTTGACAACCTTGGGCTTGGCGGCCTTGGGCTTCACGGACTTAGCAGCACTTTTGGCAGCTTTCTTGGGCTTCGCAACCTTGGCCTTCTTTGGGCTCTTGGCCACTTTCTTGGTCACAGTGGCCGCGGCCGGCTTCTTCGCCTTCTTCGGTGTTTTCTTAGCGCTCTTCTTCGGAGTAGCGCCGCCAGTCGCCTTCCTAGGCTTCTTAGCTGCCCCAACCGGCTTCTTAGGCTTGGCTGCGCCCACTTTCTTAACCTTGGGCTTGGCTTCGCCGGAGGTTGCCTTCTTGTTGAGTTTGAAGGAACCAGAAGCACCGGTGCCCTTCGTCTGCACCAGAGTGCCCTTGCTCACCAGGCTCTTGAGACCAAGTTTGATTCGGCTGTTGTTTTTCTCCACATCATAGCCCGCGGCAGCCAACGCTTTTTTCAAAGCAGCCAGAGAAACCCCGCTGCGCTCTTTAGAGGCTGCCACCGCCTTGGTGATGAGCTCTGACACCGGAGGACCAGATGCCTTACGAGGCGGCCCCCCAGATTTCTTGGCTGTCTTCTTCTTTACGGGGACTTTCTCCGCCGGAGGCGCGGCAGCGGGAGCGACAGGAGCAGTCTCGGACATGTTGAGGATCAACAACTCGGGTACAAGTGGCAAAGCGCCGATGAAACAGCGCTTGGGCAGGGCCGCTGTATATATAGAGCGCAGGAGCGCTCTGATTGGTGCTCTGGTGGCCCGCCTGGCTGGCAGGCTCTGAGCCGCTGCGCTGCTCCCAAGTTGTGTTTGTTCCACCTCACAAAAGGGGAAAAATATTAAAATTCCCCGCACCAAATCACCCGGATTTGGTCAGGAAAGGATCTCAGAAGCCTCGGGCTTCAGGCTTTTCATTTATTTTTTCCACAACCACAAAAACAACGCGTCCAGGCGTCCCCAATTCCCCCAACTCCGAAGGAAGTCTGGGGCAGTCAGAGACCACTTTCTGTTTTTCTTATAAATTACCTGTTCGCTCCTTTGCCCCTGAAAGTTCTTTTTCCCAGGGGTGGTTGGGCACATGCTTCCCTTATTTTTGGAAAAAAAAACGAAATGGTTTCCACCTAAATTTTCATGATAATTCTGTTTCTTCACAAGGGAAGTAACACAGGTCCTCTGTGAATTCTTCCTGCAGACGCACAGGAACTGTGGACTGGGACAAGGATTCCAGGGCCTGTCCAAAGTAATTAGGGAGGGATGGGAGGGGGTTCATGAGCCTTGGTAGGGTCCAATGTGGTGGGGGGCTAGAGACTTAAATCTTTGATTTGAAGACATTGAAACCATCAAATCCTTCTTTTCATAGATGGGGGCGGGGCATCCTTTTCACTTCTCTACAGGCGAGAAATTGGGCTCTTTTTAAAAAGCTCTGAGGTCCCCCTCTGAGTTGTGTAAGGCAGGAGGTCTGGCCCTCAAGATAGAGATAATAAAGGAACAAGGGAGATCCCTTAAGCCTGCAAAGAAAGCCAATAGATTTGGCAGTTAGAGGCACTGAGATAATATGTTTTCAAAGAAAACAAGCATTTATTTATTTATTTATTTTTGTACATTGTAATATTAGAGATGAATTTCAGCCCATGAAAATTAGAGGTTACTTTCAGTAACCACACCTTACACAAGTTACCGTTCAGGACAATCTCCAGTTTGAAACTCAAATATATCTTTGAATTGCAAATAAAGCAACTGACTTTAATAAAACAAACTCTTGACTTTTAAGATGAACAATATATTTGAAATTTATTTTTTAAATAGCAAAAATTTACACAGAAAGATAGGAAAAGTACCAGAACATGTAATTTATTATAAGATCTTTTGTTGATGAGCTGAAAATGACCTCTTCTTTTCCCCTCTGAAACTATTCTTTTCTAAAGTTTACTACTTTAAGATTCACTACTTATTTTACTCTCCGACCCCAAGTAATTGCTATTTTTTTCTAGAGATTAAAGGCAAAGTAAGTTGTCTGCCCATACATTTGATATAATTATGGATTTATATTTAGGGACAAAGGTAATGTTACAACTCACCAACAATTTCTACTCAAATATATGTTTTCATGAAAATATGTGTTAGAGAACAGCCTTAGATTGTGGGAAAGTCAAAAGGTATCCTATAAATTGAGTTCAATGAAGAATGAAAAGTGAAACATCTTTTAGACTAAGGGTGACCCCCTTGTTTTATTAAATAACATTTGTCCAACATTTGGAAACATTGTCTACTTGTATGCTTATGTCCTCTGGGAATTAACAGTCTAATGAGATTAGTGATGGATGAATTAGCAGTGGTGGAAAAACACTTTAGACTGGCCATTCCTCAGAGTGACAGGGTATAAGAATTATACAAAATTATGTAAAGTATATAAACAATTGAAGCAGTTGCATCGTACTAATATATTGTAGTAAAAGAAATAATATAAGGCTGGACCCTGTGGCCCAGGCCTGTAATCCCAGCACTTTGGGAGACTCACCGGGGCGGATCACCTGAGGCCAGGAGTTTGAGATCAGCCTAGCCAACATGGTGAAACCCCATCTCTACTAAAAGTACAAAAATTAGCTGGGAGTGGAGGCACGCGGGAGGCTGAGGCAAGAGAATCACTTGAATGCAGGAGGAGGAGGTTGTAGGTTGCAATGAGCCGAGATGATGCCACTATACTCCAGCCTGGGCGACAGAGTGAGACTCAGTCTCAAAAAAAAAAAAAAAAAAAAAAGAGACAATATAATAACATGTCACTTAGGCTGGGCTTGGTGGCTCATGCCTGTAATCCCAGCACTTGGGAGCACTTGGGGAGGCTGAGGCGGGCAGATTGCCTGAGGTCAGGAGTTCAAGACCAGCCTGGCCAGCATGGTGAAACCCCATCTCTACTTAAAAAAATACAAAAATTCGCTGGGCACGGTGGCAGGCAACTGTATTACCAACTACTCGGGAAACTGAGGCAGGAGAATCCCTTGAACCTGGGAGGCGGAGGTTGTAGTTAGCTGAGATTGTGTCATTGCACTCCAGCCTGGGCAACAGAGCAAGACTCCGTCTTAAAAGAAAAAAGAAAAAAAAAAACATGTGATGTAGATCTTATTCTGTACGCAATGAACCCCCTTCTCATTTAAAACTCGGCTAAGTGTATCTACCATGAAAATAGCTATGAGGAGTCTTAATTACCAGGTAACTGGACCTCCTTTCACTATAAATTGGTATCCTGGTTTATAAATCGACATGTAAATTTAATCACTGTGATTCAGTTCTCTAATATGATTTTTCCAGTCAACTCAAGCTAATCACATCTCTTTACATGCAAATCTGAAGACCTCAAGCCATTAGGACATCCAGCCACACAGAATCTTGTCCCCAACCTCCTGGCAACATGGTGGAGGCCAGAAGACAGAGAAATATGTAACCAAGCCCTTTCTAGATCCCTTGTAAAGTGTGTTGAAAAAGTTATGCAAAACTTAAAAGCCAGGCAAAAATATTTCTCCATATCCTTCCAAGCTATATTAGAGAATTGTCTAAAAAGTCTACTTATGGTGTACCTGATGATGTAACGCAATACTAGACAGTAAAAGAGAATGTGAATCACATAAATATTTTCCAAATTTTTTTTTTGTTGAGACAGAGTCTCGCTCTGTCACCCAGGCTGGAGTGCAGTGGCTTGATCTCACCTCACTGCAACCTCCGCCTCCCCGGGTTCACACTATTCTCCTGCCTCAGCCTCCCAGTAGCTGGGACTACAGATGCCCGCCACAACGCCCGGCTAATGTTTTTGTATTTTTATTAGAGACGGGGTTTCACTGCGTTAGCCAGGATGGTCTCGATCTCCTGACCTCGCGTGATCGACCTCCCAAAGTGCTGGGATTACAGGCGTGAGCCACCGTGCCCAGCCATACTTTCCAAATTTCTAGTGGTCAGATTGAAAGAATGAAAAGAAACAAGTAAAATTAATTTTAATATATTTTATTTAACTGTATATATCAAAACTATTATCACTTCAACATATAATAAATAAGCTAAAAAAAAAAAGGACAGTTGACATTCTTTTTTTAATAATAAATCTTCAGAACCTGGTGTGTATTTTACACTTTTAGAACATTTTAAATCAGACTAGCTACAGTCCAAATGGTCAATGATCACATATAGCTAGTGGTACCTTATTGGACAACACTGTTCTACGTGAAAGTAACTCTGACTTGATGTTTATATTTTATTGGGCCCAGATTATCTAAAAGTAAACATTCACTTGTAGAAGTTTAATAAATTAGTAAGGATTTTGTCATAGAGATGGAAATGAATTCTTAGTATGGAAAAAATGACCCCAAAAGTTATTATTGTATTGCCTAATAAGACATTAAACAACTTTATATCTGATTTGCCATTCCTCTTCCCGTATTCATTCTTTCCCTGACCAAATACATATTTTGTTCTCCCGTATCTTCCTTTGACCTAATTGTGATTCTGCTTCCTCATTCATTGAGTTAAATCATTTTGACACATACACAAGCTCACTATATATAGTACATGTATGTCAGTCATGTTTTTAACTTCCTGAATATTGTACTTTGACACTTGGTTGTTCAATTTGGCCTAAGAGCTCTGAATCAGAACCTTTAGAAGCCATTCTGAAAAACTGGAAGATACAAAGTTTTTTGACTATCAACTCCATAGCAACCTGGTATCTGGTTGGTGTTCCATGGAAACTGTATTTCTCAAATTTTGAAATAAGATTGAACAAGCCTGTGAGCAACACAAAAATAAAGTCTATTAGAATGACCTCCAGCCAGGCAGGGTGGCTCACGCCTGTAATCCCAGCACTTTAGGAGGCCAAGGCCGGCGGATCACGAGGTCAGAAGTTTAAGACCAGCCTGACCAACGTGGTGAAATTCTGTCTCTTCTAAAAATACAAAAATTAGCCCAGCATGGTGGCGTCCACCTGTAATCCCAGCTACTCGGAAGGCCAAGGCAGGAGAATCACTTGAACCCGGGAGGCAGAGGTTGCAGTGAGCCAAGATTGCACCACTGCACTCCAGCCTGGGTAACAGAGTGAGACTCCATTTCAAAAAAAAAAGAATGACCTCCAAAGGAAAGTTCAGATTAAGGATGTGGTCATCCCACTCAAAACTGATGTCCTCAAGAAAGTCACAAACAAATTGAGGACACAGTTAAAATATTGTAATGCAATATATTGTGTATTCTTGTATTTACCACACATCATAAATATTATAGGTTGACTAGTTTTGTTTCATGCCACATTTTTCAGGCTCTGGAAACCCTGGTAGAAAAAGTTAAAAATGCAGAGCAAAATGTCAAGTCCAAACAGCAGTAATGGGGCTAGAGAGAGACTCAAACAGCCAAGATACATTCAAAAGAGGGTGAGAGGAGTTGTTGGGACAGGTGTAAGGAATGAGGGTGACAGTTGGTTTTTGTTTCATTTTCTCCTTCTACTATACCAGTTAGAGTTCTTTGTTTTTGGTAGAGACAGGGGTCTCTACCAGGGGTCACTATGTGGCTCAGGCTGGTCTCAAACTCTTGCCACCAAGTGATCCTCCTGCCTCAGCCTCCTAAAGTTTTGAGATTATAGGTGTGAACCACCAAGCCCAACCTTGAGTAGGGCTCCGTCAGCTTTTGGATGTAGCTAATCTGATATTAATATATCCTGTATAGGCCAGAACTT